ATAGTAGATGTTACTATAATTAAACTGACGTTACTCTCCCCTTGCTCGTATCTATTTTTCTTACGTTCGGAATATCCCGAACGCGGAATAGAGCGCGTGGCAGGATGGCAGTTTTCTTAGTCATTCATCCTGGCGTCACCTGGTCACACAGTGTCAGGATTCCAGCCGCGTAACGTAATCGGCGTAAGGTGGGGGCTTTTCATAACGGCTTTTTTTTCCTCTTCTTCCCGCCGAGGAGGCCTGAGTCTCTCCCGCTCTCGCTTTCCCGTCTTGCTCGCTTACCTGAAACCTTTCTCGGCGATTAACGAGTCTAGGACGCCGCGCGACCGACCGACCGGCGCGGAACAGTTACCTCTCTCTTGTACCCGTTCGCTTTTCGCGCGGTCCACCAGGAAATCGGCACAGGTCGATGAAACCGTTCCACCGTGAAACCTTGCTTCCTGCTCGAAACCTGTTGCCTCGATTTTCATTACAAGTTCAGATAAAATAACTCAGATAAACGATGACCTTCAGTTCTCCTTGAGTCTTTATTTATTCAATTCTCATGTACATAATTTTGTAAATAGGCGAATTTTTTTTTAAATGGATGACAAGAAAATGGGACTGTATTTCATTTTAATTATGTAATAAAAAATCGTTGCACGAAAACTAGTGAGATTATTATAAGAGCCGGAAGTGGATAGGCAAATAAGGACGTCGGACTTGAGAAGGGTCTTGGGAACTTTCATTGAGACAAATTGGAACAAACAGTTTTACGTAGAAAACCGCGGCTCTCTCTTGCGTGGCCGACGAGCACTTCCTACAGTCTGTAGATATTGCGGTCCGTCACGATTCCGTTCACTTCCGGCCGTCGAAGTTGCGAATCTTGATGTAGAACTCTGCTAAACGAAGCTACGTCAAAGAATTACATCGTTTTCATAATCTAACGTAATCTCCATTGTCCTCAACGAAAAGAATCTAAACAAAAATGGAGTATAGGTACAGATTTGCTGTAAACTTGAAGAATTATAGCAATTCCTTATAATTGTATTCAATATATCTCCATTGCAGGTGACGATGTGGTTGCTCTATCTGTTTGCGCTGTGTACCTGGTCACTGTCATGGGGTCAGGTGATCAACAGGGCGCCACACTTCGTGCAGGGTGGCGACATGGCCAGGCTAGCCGTGTCAGAACGCACTCCACCTGGTGCACCCGTCTACACTCTTCAAGGTAACAACTAACGAATGACCAAAAGCAACGCAAATCAGGAAATTAGGTCATTTACACCATAAGACCTAAATTATTTAGTACTATTTGATTGATCTTCTGAATGATGAATTCCTGCACGAAGGTGAGGACCCTGAAGGTTCCAAACTGCACTACTCCATCAGTGGGGAATACTTCACGGTGGACAGAGACAGCGGCGTGGTCGTTCTGCGAAAGGCGTTAGACAGGGAGACACAGGATCTGATCGAAGTGATCATCAGCATAACGGGTAGCTACGCTAGTTTTATCGGTGTCCCGTTACGGTGTCACCAGTGAATATCAATGAATATAATACGTGGGGAATGTAGGTCGCCAGTAACGTGTCGATCGTATCAAAAGAAACGATTACGTAATGAAGATTCACTAATAATTCCTCATTCCTCTGATGCGATTCTTTGTAACGTTCATGTAACTTCACGCTCCAGTTTTCAATCCCTGTTTTGCTTTCTTGATTTCACAAGATTAATTATATTTGCCATAATTATTTAAATGAAGAAATTATTCATGAGCGTCCTAATACTTTTTAAAGGCGTCGTACATATTTTATAATTGCGATTCGTGTTTTATGTCCATTGTTCCTTATTGTCAGACGAGGGGGTCGCGGGGTCGGAGCCGAACACGGTATCTCTCCGGCGAGAAATAGCGGTGCTCGATGAGAACGATAACCCGCCGGTATATCACGGGAGACCGTACGCGGCTAGGGTGCCGGAAAGTGCGCACGTGGGTGGCCTGCTCGTTCCCGCTGGCACGATCACGATCACAGACCGCGACGGTGGCGTGAACGCTGACGTCCACGTGGACTGCGTCCCTGCGTCCCGCGACGACGACGTCTGCGACGTCTTCGACGTTTCCACCGAGAAGGTATCGTCAACATTTTTTATTAAATTCCTACTTCATTTTATATAC